CTAGAAAACAGGTGGAATGTGGAATGGTATATATTTTTTTACCTCTCTTCACACTGTGATTTATAAGGCCAGCATTTCAGTAGCTGGGTGCTCACCAGCATCCCAGGACTGCACTACTGGTCCTCTGGCTTCAACATGTGTAAGGACGTGCAAGAGCTGCTGGGACCAAGGCCCGCATCATTGCTGTTGTCTGGATTGCATTGTCAGAGTCAGGGGACTCTCCCAGCCACTGCAGTTTCCTTCTCAGCAGACCTTGCTTACAATCTCTCTGTGGTCTTGGTGTCCTCTTTAGCCTGCTGCTTCCCAGCTCCAATGCAGGTGTCATTGGACCAGACTGGAAGTGAACTGTAGTATGGGCTGAGAGGACAATATCAGTCTTCGATAGTAATAGGAACAGTTTTTATGTGGCTTGATAAATTTCATTTCCTTTTTCTTGATACTCTAGTAGTATACACCAGCAGGTGTCAAAGCAGATTTAAAAACCATTATAATACTATACACACACACACACACACACACACATGCATATATACATACACATACACATACAAGTTTAGGTCATGTCTCTCCTCAACAAAGAAATGATAGCTTTCTAGAAACAAAGAGAAGAAGCTCCCTTACCTTTTTCTACACTCTTCTCTGTGGTTGAAGTTTCGGACTGTTTAGTTTGGTGAAGGGCAAAATGAACTAGCTGAGCCTGCATGTTGCTAGCTCTTGAGGAACACATTTTGTCCTGGCTGTGAGGCTTCAGTCCACAGGCTGAAAAAAATCAAGATAACCTATTGCAAAACAAGGACCATATAACTTCCTGTCAAATTTTCTTAATTTCACTTTAAAATAGGGATGATGACTACTGGTTCTGCACATAAGGAGCTTAGAAGCCATCACTCCTATCCTCGCACAAGAAAAAAGCTGAACAAACTGAAAATCAACAACTTTTATTAGATTCTCTAGAGAATTGACATCACAGGATAAATTACTGCCCCCCCCACCAACAAAAAGAAAATGGGAGGACAGACAGGTGGATGCAGAGAATCACAACTTAGAGCAGAAACTCCCATGTGAACTAATACTGAAATAGGAAAACCTGAGCTATAGCTGATGAATTGCTGGGAGTTAAGCGTGGACAAATCTAGAGAGAACTGCAGGGGACCCAGTCATAGAGGAATCCCTGACATTTTTGTGAATTTTACCTTCAGGAGCCCTATCAGATCCTCAGAGTGAAGATGAGAGAAAACTGTCATCATGCTTCCAGCAGAGAAAGGGGAAAAGTAG